CTTTTCTCTCCCCTCTTTGCTCCCAGCAGCTGTTGTTTAGCTGCCTCTATTATTAGCTCTTTGTCGTCTTTTGTGGCTCCCCCCCCCCTTACAACAGAACCTAGAAGGGAGGGGGGGATTTGCCTAGTGGGGTGGTTTATCAGCTGCTCACACCGTACCAGGGCTTCTTACTGGGATACTCCTTTCTTTTTGGCCCTTAGTGGGCTGCTTGCTCTGTTTCGGAGGGGGGGGTCCCATCTCATGCACGCCCCTCAACAAAACCACGCACGTGTGACTTAATAAAAACGGCACATGGTTTTTTACAACAGCCTCCTGAGTGAAAGCAGAGAGGTACGCATCTGATGAGTCACTGAACGGCCTAGTTCATTCACAGCATGCCAAAACGGCTGCTGGTGACTCAGCTCTGTTTCCTGGAACAGAGAGACGGGGGTGGATTTGGTGGAGAGAAAAGGGTCTGTGCAACCAAGGACGCACATGGGTTTGAAAGCGTTCCGATGCTGGGCCTTTGCCCAAAGTATCGGAGGGTGTGACAGAAGGTTGCTTGTTTCCCCCATCGGAGGTGCTGAGTTCCAAGCTGCACTGTCCATTTGGAAAGCCCTTCCTTTGAATCCCAGATTATTGTGGTTCGGCTGTCATGGAAAGGCACTCTTGTGTATGCTCAGAGGTGCTCTCTTTAGCAAAGCTGAAATGGAATCAGGTTCCAAGGCTAAGCCTGCACATGTACTAACTCACGTAAAGACATCTACTTGACGTTGTGGCTCCTGACTGGAAAACTAGGAGCACATCTATATGGGGCGCATTCTGGAGATTTCTTGTTCTCGCCTGTGGTTCCCACAGTCCAGAGGTGTCACCTGTGCAGGCCTCTGCCTGACCTCATAACATGAGGATGTGATTGTGCATCATGTTACAACCTTGCCTCTATGTAGCTGGCTTCTGTGCCATAATTACAAGAGTATCCTGGAGGCAATCTAGAGCTGGAAGGGACCCCAGTGGTCATGGAGTCCAAACCCCTGAAAAATGCAGGAAATTCATAGCTCCCCCCCCCCCCCCCCCCAGCGAGCCCTGCTTTATGCCCAGAGGAAGGCAAAAAACCTCGATCCCTTGGCCAAATCTAGCCTGGATGAAAGTTCCTTTCTGATCCCAAAGTGGAGATTGGCATTATTGTGGGCATAAAACAAAAGGGCCACAAGAGCCCAGCACTGGCTCATCCCTGCTCTCCTTCACACGAGGAAAACAATGTGACTTTCCCAGCAGGCACATCCTTTACCACAGTGCCCAATTAGGTGCAGAGTTGAAACATGCAAGCTTATGCTAGAATCTGAAAGCAGTCCTGTATGGCCCTTGCAACGGCCCAGATGCTCACAAATGGGTTCTTGTGGCTGCGTGGGACCAGACTGTCCTCCTTTGTGGGAAATCCCTATACTTGGGAGAAGCCCACGCAGCATAGGAATGCTGTGTAAAGAAGCTATATGGGAGTGGCAGTCTTGTCTTGGTTGAGCAGCTCCAGGTGTATTGGCTGGGCAGCTGAGCGTTTGATTAGCTGGGTGCAAAAGAAAAATCGGGGCAATGTTTCATTTGTAAAAGGGAGAACACTTCAGAATCCGATTGAGATGTTGGAGGGGGGTTGTTTGAGGAGGTGTCATGGCTTCCCGGCTTGCTTGGTGTCTGCATTATCAGTGCTTCCACACACAGAGGCCCTTTGGCACCCGTCTGTAGCTGCTAAGTGGCAAAGTGCTCCACTGAAAAGAGGGATAGCAGACTGCTGTGCAGCCCAGTGATGAGCATAATTGATCGAAGAATGGACCTTATTTGAAAACCTGCTTGGTCCCTAGAGTCGACCAGACCAGACCGTTGAACCTTTATGTCCTCCGGTTTGGTTGCAAAAGGGAATACCTTTATGCATAAAGCTGTACAGCTCTGTTAACCGGGGAGGATTTGCTTTATTGCCTTTCTTTCTGGAATGTGCATTTTTTTTCTTTTGCAAAGCGTTCTGTCCTTAGCCAATTCTCTTTTAGAGGAATTTGTGCCATCATTTTAAAGTCCACCGTCAGGCAGCATACTTGTGAGGAACACAGCCTCGTGGCTTAAATCCCAAAGACCCGTAACTTTGGAAAGCTGTCCGGCTTCATACATCTGTTCTGCTCCCCCAGATCGCTTGCTTGGAAAACCTCCAGCAGCTGGTTGGCTGAACATCAGGGGAATTAAAAAGACATGCATCCATTTGCAGATCAGATTTTTGTGTGTCTTCAGGTTGCCTTTCTCATTCAGTCTTTGGGAATGTGATGGAGACAGAAAGGAGGATGAGAGGCATTTCCGAGGCTGCCCATCTCTATATAGTTTATAGTGCATTCCTCAACACGTTTACTCAGAAATAAGCCCCATTGAATTCAGTGAGGCTTATTCCCTAATGTGAGTGTTAAAGACTGGGGCTGTGGTTCTGTGGCAGAGAATCTGCTTGGCATTCTTGGCTTCAGGTTCAATCCCTGGCAAATCCAGTTAGAAGGATCTGGCAGTAGGTGATGTGAAAGACTTCAGCCTGAGACTCTGGCAAGCCGCTGCCGGTCTGAGTAGACCTTGATGGACCGATGGCCTGATTCAGTATAAGGCAGCTTCATGTGCGTGATTGCAGGTCTGGGTTTGGTCTGCACGTGTTGGAGCATGAGGTGGTAGCAGGGCCGGCCCCAGCTTATTTTGCACCCTAGGCGAGGATCCCTTCTGGTGTCCCCCTCCCCATGCACCCACCAATTTTCAAAAATAAATGCATTTTAGGAAGAATGAAAAACACAAATAATCAAGAAACTCCCAGAGTACGGGGCCGGGTGCAGCTTGGCGCCCCTAAGGGCCGGCCTGCTCTAGGCGATTGCCTAGTTTGCCTAGTGAGTGAGCCGGCCCTGGATGGTAGAGTAATAGAAGGGACTGCTTCAGAGCACAAGTGAGGAATTACGTTTTTCAGTATTCTCCCACATCAGTTGTTCCCAGGAGGTGGAGAACTAGCATCACACGAGAAGGGCTTGGCTGGGAGCCTTTCTCCCTGATGTGCTGACTTGTTCATTCACAGGGAGTTTTTTTTCTGGCACAGACAAGCGTTAAAAATTTAAGCTTGCCTTCTGTAGTGGCCCAGCCCCTTTTGTTACCTCAGAATCTCACCACCTCTCTTCTGCTCTGTCCCTTTAAAATATTTATGTCCTGCCTTATCTTTGCAAGCTCCAGGCAGCTAACAACACAACTCCCAAGTTGGAAGGACACAGAACACAACAGTCCAATTAACAAATTTAAGAACCCCCCCCAAATGTTCCAGCAAATGTGCTTCTTTTGGGTTAGAGCCTGCTGCCCCCAAATTTTATTTCTGTCCACACATGCATTCATCCCAATACCCCAAATGGGTACTGAAGGCTCAATTTCAGGTTTCTCCGAATTGGAAATTGGCTTAAATGCCCTTCATGTGACTTCATCAGGTGCCAGAAGTAATCTGGAAAAGCAGACACAGAATTTCCAGACTTAATTGAACACTAAACTCTCTTTGCATGGGATTTCTCTGTTCTGCAACGTGTCTAGTGAACTTGCAAAAACTAGTACATCCAAGTGTCCATTCAGGGGTTAAAGTCTCTGACAGGATTTAAATTGTATTATCGCCATCTGCTGATTAAGGTATAGAGCCGAATTTTAATTTTTACTGTTTTATGTTTTAATCTTTTAAATTGTTATATTCATATGCTATGAGCTGCCCTGAGCCCACTTGCAGGGTAGGGTGGGATATAAATAAAATAAATATTCCTTTAAAAAACCTCTTGGCATTAAGTGTAGACGTGCACTCTTTTTGATGGTGGGTGGTATCTCCGTATTCCAAAAATAAGCATACCAGGTTTCTCAGTTTTATGCCTGACGAAGAGCACCGCAAAGACAGACCTGGGTGCTGGATTTGGGGAGACGCCGAGGAAGATGCCCTCCTGTGTTGGCCCCCAGCTGAAAACACTGTTCCCTTGTATGGATATGTACACATGCACATATGCACAGATGCATATTGTCCTATAAGTCCTGTTACAGCTGGGTAGGGCTTAAAGGCATGTGAAAGGTTTGGCTTCTTCAGGCGCTATTCCCCGCAGCAAGTGAAAGTTTGCCTCAGAGGCCCCTGCAGTGTTGCAAGGTTGTCCTGGGAGAATCTCCTGTTCTCTGGTTGGAGAGGCATTGGAGTAGGCCATATAGTGTAGGCTTTCTCATGCCACAGTGACATGAAAAAGAGCAGTTTCTGTCAGAGCTCTCTCAGCCCCACCTACCTCACAGGGTGGCTGTTGTGGGGAGGGGAAGGGAGTTCGTAAGCCACTCTGAGACTCCTTTGGGTAGTGAAGGGCAGGGTATAAATCCAATCTCTTCTTCTTCATTCTGCTGCCTCCAGGTGTCTGTCTGTCTCTCCCTGCAGGAATTGGGAGGTCCTTTGTCTGACTTCCTGTTCTTGACATCTCTGTTTCATCTCTGGTTGCCAGCAGGCCCTGTGCCAAACCATGGACCTCAGTGACACCTGGCTGTTCCAATCTTTGTTGTCACCACACTACCACCTGCTGCCACCTTGGTCTCCTTGACTCCCTGATCTGTAGTTGCCTAGACTGCAAAGTACCCTCGCCTGTTCATTTCTTTCTTGCTTAATACCCACAATTGTAGCCTTTTAAGAGCATTTCCTATTCAAGTAATCTTTCACAACCATCACAGAGCTGCAGAATTCTGTCAAGATTATTGGGGCGGCAACAGTCATTTCCAAACAGACACGGTGTTTGTGAACTTTCCATGACATCACAGCAGCCTAGTCAATAGTTAGGTGGGCCTCACAAGCCATCAGATAGCAGTTGTGCCATGAGGACTGTGCCTGTCTAAGGATTTTGCCATACAAGTATGAAGGTTATAAGTACAGAGTTCTGTTGTTTTTTTAAGGCAAAACCTCAGCTCTTCTCATGGTCGTAAAAGATCCTTACTGGTTGAAACCACTGTTCTTCTTCTCTCCTCCGTAGCTGTGGACTTGAAGCCGGTGCTTCCAGTGGTGATGCAGAGTTCCTGCAACAACAGCAGCAACAGCAGCCCGGTGGACTTGCGGATGGATGCCCGGCCCAGCATGCCTAGCGTGGACCCTGCCGTCCGGGAACAGCAGCTGCAGCAGGAACTCCTGGCCCTGAAACAGCAGCAGCATTTGCAGAAGCAGTTGCTCTTTGCTGAGTTTCAGAAGCAGCATGAGCACCTAACGCGGCAGCATGAAGTCCAGTTGCAGAAGCACCTCAAGGTAATTTGGAGGGGAAACTAGGAAGGTTGCCTTGTCCGGACCACTCGGTCTGTCAGGCTGGGTGTGTTGTCCATTTTGAGTGACGGTGGCTGTCGTGGGTCAAAGCCCTCTTGACAACTGTTTAAACTGCAGATGCTTGAGGACTGATCCTGGGGACCATGTACACACAAAGTATGTGCTTTGCCACTAAACGACAGCCCCTCCCATCTGCTGATAATAACACCCAACTCTGTTTTTCTGCCTTCTTTTTGCAAAATCAAAGTACATCATTGAGTGTCTTGAACAAGCATGTGGACACTGTTTATTGACTGGAGGGATAAAGTGTGCTTTGATCCAGACTACGCACATATATTGATTGCGGGTAGACTTAGAGATAAAGGATGGTGGAATGGATTCATCCTTCCTCCAAGAAGCCTTCCTCCAGCTTAGGGAGGCTCACTCCAAGTTAAGTGACTTATCCTACAATGGGACCGCCTCTCCCTGTATACCCCCTAAGAACATTACACTCACGGAACAAAGACCTACTGATGGTTCCTGGGCCAAGAAATGTTAGATTAAGAACATAAGAGAAGCCAATGTTGGATCAGGCCAATGGCCCATCCAGTAGAACACTCTGTCACACAGTGGCCAAAAACACCAGGTGCCATCAGGAGGTCCAGCAGTGAGGCCAGGACACTAGAAGCCCTCCCACTGTTGCCCTCCCCCCAAGCACCAAGAATACAGTGCATCACATGCCGCAGGGTGAGAGTTCCTATCTATACCTTGTGGCTAATAGCCACTGATGGACCTCTGCTCCATATGTTTATCTAGTTCCCTGTTGAAGCTGTCCATGCTTGTAGCAGGCACCGCCTCCTGTGGCAGTGAGTTCCATGTGTTAATCACTCTTTGGGTGAAGAAGTACTTACTTTTGTCTGTTCTAACCCGACTGCTCAGCAATTTCATGGAGTGCCCATGAGTTCTTGTATTGTGAGAAAGGGAGAAAAGTACTTCTTTCTCTACCTGCTCTATCCCATGCATAATCTTATAAACTTCTTATCATGTCACCCCTCAGGTGTTATTTCTCCAAGCTAAAGAGCCCCAAGCGTTTTAACCTTCCTTCACAGGGAAAGTGTTCCAACCCTTTTATCATTCCAGTTGCCCTTTTCTGCACTTTTTTCCAATGCTATAATATCCTTTTTGAGGTCTGGTGACCAGAACTGTACACAGTACTCCAAATGCGGTCGCACCATTGATTTCTACCAGGGCGTTATGATACTGGCTGATTTGTTTTCAATTCCTTCAACCAGAGCCAGAGCCTCCTCTGCCCTGGCCCCAGCCTGGTGGAGCAGCTTCCAGTTGAGACTCAGGCCCTGGGAGACCTGTCACAGTTCCTCAGGGCCTGCAAAACAGAGCTGTTCCACCAGGCCTATGGCCAATGCTCCTGACAGAGAAAAATAAAAACTCTCTGATGGGATTTCCTTTTGCCCCCTTTCTCTGCCCTTCCCCCAGCATGACTAAATCTTTCCCTCATGTGGGGAAAAATTATGTTTTTATTGTAATTTTATGTGTTATCTGCTGCTACGGTTAGTAACTTAAAGTGTATTTTGAATTGTCTTAATTAAATTATGTTTGTTGTTGTTATAATATTTTGGTACTCACCCTAAGACCTGTGCTAGCAGGGGAGGGCAAGTCAGAAATAGAACAAACAAAAAAATAAAGAAGGCTCCTTAAGGTGGAGGGAGGCTTCAAATGTTGCTCTGTGGAGTGGCAGGATAGGGATATGTTTGTGTCCATTTTAGTTGTTCTACTGGTACAATAGCGGTCACCTTTCCCTTGGGAGAGCGGCCGTGTAGAGTATGTGGATTCTCCATCCCAACCTGTCACCTTTGATGTGGAAATTGCAGCCATCGTCAATGCTCTGGGAGCTTCCTGTTTAGACTCCTGGCAATCCCTTCTACATAGCATTACCTTTGAAAATGGCCTGGAAAATGCAGCTGGTGCAGAACATTTTGGCTCACTTCCAGTTGGCGCAAGGCTCATGTGTTTCTGAACCCAGTGTAGTCCTACCGCTCTGCTCAACTAAGCGCAGAGCCTTCCTCTAGCGAAAGAGGCTCTTAACACTGGTGAAAGGTTGGATGGGACAGAGGAAGGAACCATACTTTGCTGCAGGCTGTTTCTTTGGTTTTTGCTGTTAAAACCCAAAATGGCTTTGGTCCTGCAAGACTGAGGCCCTTTCCATGGCTTCAGATCTTCTGGTGACATATTATTTATTTATTTATTTATTTATTTATTTAGTAATTCAATTTATACCCCGCCTTCCCTGCCAAGGCAGGCTCAGGGCAGCTTACATAAAAATGCATATAAATACAATTAAAATCCATCATAAAAACATCCATAGACAAATCAATTGTCAGTTATCCTGATAGTGCTGGAACAGTACTCAAATAAAGTGCAAGAGCAAAGATTTCTAGATTAAACAATACTACATAGGTGACAGTCATGATGGTATTCTCACATCAGCTCAGTTTGGTCGACTAATTTATGCGGCGAGGCAGGCTGAAGGTGGTAAAGCCAGGGAACAGAGTTACTCCTTGGTGTTTGAAGGGGCTCCTAATCGAAGGCCTAGTGGAAGAGCTCCATCTTGCAGGCCCTGCAGAGCTGTAAGAAGCGAATCCAGTATGCTATTGGTAGCCAGTGCAGTGCTTTCAGCACAGGTTGGATGTGCTCCCACATAGAGAGACCCATTGACAGCCTGGCCGCAGCATTTTGCACCAGTTGCAGCTTCTGGATTTGGGACAAGGGCAGCCCCATGTAGAGAGCATTACAGTAGTCTCATCTCGAGGTGACCATCACATGGATCACTGTTGCCAAGTCGTTGCATTCAAGGAAGGGAACCAACTGCTTAATCAGCCGAAGATAGTAAAAGGCTGACTTGGCAGTGGCTGCTACCTGGGCCTCCATTGTTAAAGAGGCATCCAAGACCACTCCCAGACTCCTAACCTCCAGCACTGGCACCAACTGTGCCCTGTCGAAGCTCGGGAGTGGGATCCTTGCCTTTGGGCCACCCCGGCTCAGGCACAGGACCTCCGTCTTTGTCGGATTCAGTTTCAGTCAACTCAATGTAAGCCTACCAGCCACTGCTTGTACCACCTGGTCCAGATCTTCCAGTGTAGAGTCAGACTGGCCACCCAACAACAGACAGAGCTGGGTGTCATCTGCATATTGATGTCGAACAGCATCAGGGAAAGTACCACCCCTTGAGGCACTCCACAGGTCAGTGGATGCCTTTGGGACAGTTGTTCCCCTAGCACCATCCTTTGTCCCTGACCCTGGAGGAAGGATGTGAGCCATTGCAAGACAAGCCCCTGAACTCCAGAGTCGGCAAAGCGGCGGATCAGTAGCTGATGGTTGACCATGTCGAATGCTGCCGACAGCTAAGGGATACAGCACTGCCGATCCACCTCGGTCCAGGCACCTCTGGAGGTCATCCATGAGAGTGACCAGTGCTGTCTCTGTCCTGTGTCCTGGACAGAAGCCGGACTTGAAGGGGTCTAGGATGGAAGCATCGTCCAAAAGGCTCTGTACCTGGACTTTTGATTAACTTGCCCAGTTTGAAACCGGCCGGTAGTTAGCCAATTTGGCCGGATCCAAGGATGGATTTTCAAGAGGTTTTTTTCAAGTTTTGCTGTAGGTTCCATCTTTTACCCAAATAATGGTTTACCAAGGCAAGGATAGGAGCCTTTTCTGAGTGCCGTGGCACTTAACTTTTTGGAACTCCTTGCTAAGGGATACAGCTAGAATGTGAGTCCATCTGTCCTTATATCCTTATGGAGAGTGGAGTGATTTCAGATGCCAAATGACAATAGCAGGTGAATGACAGTAGCTGTATCTGAAGAGGTGAGCAATGACTCACAAAAGCTCGTACCCTGCTACAAATTTTCTTAGTCTTTAAGGTACTACTGGACTCTTTCTTTTTTTCTGCTGCTGCAGGCATACTGACATGGCTACCCATCTTGATCTTGCTAAGGGAGGATTGTCTGACCATCCTTCCTTACTGGTTTCCAGTGCCTAGTAAAGATATTTCTGTATCAAAAAGCTTTCTCATGTTTCTTACGCCATAAGTGAGGATTGACTCCCCCCCCCCTTAAGTTTTCTTACTGCTTGTTTATTGTTTGTATCACATTTGTAGGGTCTTAAAATTGTATAGTGGTGTTAGTATTTTAGCTTTGGTGTTCAGGGTGATTTTATTTTGCAGTATTTGTGACTTCTTGTACATTGTCTTGGGCACACGATGGGTTCAAAAAGGGCAGGTGGTAAATAACCCCTCTCTTTTCATTTATTTAAACACCCACTGGCCAGTTTTGATATGACCTCTTGTAGCAAGTATTGCAGATAATTTACAAGCTTCGCTACTGTGCATTTATTTTCTGCCTATCAGATTTTTAGTTTCTTCCTTCAAAGCTTACGTTGCTCTCCTTTCCTTTGTACTTCATCAGAACAACCCTCTGGGGGATAAAATGAGAGGAGAATGATATAAGCTATTTTGTGTCCTTATTGGGGAGAAAGGTGGGATATGAATAAAGTAAATAAATAAATAATATAGCACAGCATCTGTGGGTGTCAGTGCTCAAGCTTTCTTGGAAGCCCACACCCTTTGACCTAATAAGAACATAAGAGAAGCCAATGTTGGATCAGGCCAGTGGCCCATCTAGTCCAACACTCTGCCACACAGTGGCCAAAAATACCAGGTGCCATCAGGACTGAGAGTTCCTAGAAGCCCTCCCACTGTTGCCCCCCCAAGCACCAAGAATACAGAGCATCACTTGCCCCAGCCTGAGAGTTCCTATCTATACCTTGTGGCTAATAGCCACTGATGGACTTCTGCTCCTTATGTTTATTTAATTCCCTCTTGAAGCCGTCCATGCTTGTAGCCGCCACCACCTCCTGTGGCTGTAATAACTTGAGAAGCCCTGGCTCCCTAAATCCTAAACATGTAGGATATGGGTTTGGGTATTTGAGTG